CGCCATGTCGGGAGAGGGTCTGGGCTCCCCAGGGGGCTGCAGGGCCCCGAGCGGGAGCCCAGGCCGGGGACAAAGCAGAGCCCCCCCCAGGGCTGGTCCCTGAGGTATTTGGGAAAAGGGCCCGTGTGCCTTCGGCTGAGTGAGGGTACAGATGCGCACGGCAGCCTCGAAAGCCGGGCCAGACCGGACCTGAGTCTCCTACGTTAAAAGATAAGACAGGTTCGCTACCGCTTAGCCTCTCGGCCTTGGCGATTTTTATCAACTTTCCTCATTCAACATTTATTGATATGACAAACCGTATCGCTACAGCCGGCCCGAGGAATACCAACCATTAATCTCCTTATACATTTGGCACTGAGGATCATCTGTTCTTCCCCGGCTTCGCAGGATAAAGACATTACTGGGAAAGAAAAGCGGCTCTGAGCAAGCAGCGCAGGAGTGCTGCAGCTGTAAAAAAAAAAAGCAGGGAAGGGGAGTTGTTCCCCAAAAGCAGCTGTAAAATTTCTCCTGTCTACAAGAATCCTGTACAGACGGTTTTCATGCTGCAACATCAAGGTTGCAGGGGTAAATCATGGAAATACCTTATTGTGATAGGTTTTCCCCTCACTGCTTTTTTTTCTTCTCCGTTGTTTTTCCACAGGGAGAAGATAATTTCACTTACTGTCCAGCAACAGGCCTAGCTAAAGGAAATGAGCACTCAGAATTTGCTGGCTGGGCATTTCCATTTCCAGGGGTGTTTCTGATGGAGGAGTTCATTAGCGAAGATGAAGAATCTGAGATAGTTGAACTGATGGATCGAGATGACTGGAAACCATCACAGTCTGGCCGAAAGAAACAGGTTTGACTTTAGAAGCACATTTGTTCTTCGGTCCCCCTGGAAAAGGAAAGCTGTTTTCAGTTAAAACACACAACATGTACATGTTTCATTAAATGTTTTCCTTTGGAAGCTTTTCCTGAAATCAATTGCAAGAATTACTTCTAATTAAAGTCAACTTCTTGCAAAAATATACAGTAGTTGCAACAAATCATACTTGATTAAAGTTCACACAATCTCCAAGTGAAAGAAGTGGGTGTTTTGTTTTTACTTTGCAAGTGAGAAATCTAATTCCAGAGAGATGAATGTAGCTTCACTGAGTCCTCTTGCAACCTGGTGACCAGGTCACTGGAAGAGATGAGAACTCAGAGGTCTTGACCATGAGCCCTGTAGGGATCACAGCCTCTCCGAAAAGACTCGTCCTAGATTTTTCCTTAACATTAGCTTTTCCCTTCTTCTTTTCCAACAGGACTACGGACCCAAAGTGAACTTCAAGAAACAAAGGCTGAAAGCTGGCAGCTTTACTGGTTTGCCAAGTTTTAGTAAAAAGATTGTGGCACAAATGAAGGCCTGCTCTGTACTAGGCGGTTTCTTACCCGTTGAACAATGTAACCTGGACTACATGCCAGAAAGAGGTTCTGCCATCGATGCACATTTTGATGACTGGTGGCTTTGGGGAGAGCGTCTGGTTAGCTTAAACTTGCTCTCAAAAACTGTGCTATCCATGTCGTGTGATTCAGAGGACAGTATCCAATTATTTCCCACTTTCAGTAAAGGAAACAGGGAATTAAGTCCCCCTGGATCTCTTACAGAGACGTCAGCGTGCAAAAATTCAGACGAAGAGGGAATCAGCTGCATTTTATCCCCAAGGCTTGTTCCAAGTAAAGAGGTGACTGTTGCCATTCACTTACCCCAAAGGTCTCTGGTGGTGCTGTACGGTGACGCACGGTACAAGTGGAAACACGCGATTTACCGCAAGCATATAGAGCATCGCCGAATCTGTGTCACATTCAGGGAGCTGTCTGCAGAGTTCAGCGCTGGAGGAAGGCATGAGCAACTGGGTAAAGAACTGCTAGAAATAGCTCTTTCATTTCAAGGAAGACCAGTGTGATCAGCAAGAGGAAGCCGGAACTGCATTTTGTTAGGAAATTTGAAAAATAAAGTACAGAATTTGTACAGCTCTGTTTATTTCTGAAGTGTGCATAAGGAACCAGGTGTGTACAGAGATAAGCTCAATCGAATGGAAATTTAACAAACAGAAATAAGAGAGTGCAAGGAAGGGGTGGGCTATTGGTTTCTTCAAAGACTCTCCTGGGCAATGGGAACTTTTAGGCAAAAGTCAGAAATGAGCTGTTGTATTCATTGTAACAAAATGCAAAAAGCAAATAGCCAGTTTTTAAATACTGAAATGAAACCAAGAAAGAATCATTAAACTGAACTGAGTATCAAACTGCCCTTGGCACAGATTCAGCCCAAACTCTGCAGCAGATTTTGACCCTTCCTGGCCCATACTTGATTCTGTCATACTGCTTTTTGCGTTGCACTGTGCCGTAGGGACACAACTATCTTCTCACCCGCTTCGGATAGGTCCTTTAGAGATCAGCTCTCCAGGGGAGGAGGGTAAGCAAGCGTCTCTCCACAGATAGTACAACACACTGAGAACTAATTAAAGTAATTATCCTTTGCTGAAGATTCATGCTCTAACAGTGAGGATTAATCATAAATACCGTGTGTGACCTATATCTTCTGGGACCAAAGAGAAGTGTTTGCAGAGGGCCGAAGCTGACTCTTCCGCAGAGACAGCTTGGACAGAGTTCAGACCAAAGACTTGCACAGACTGTGTTATTTTCTGATCATTTGTCATCTCTGAACCCCGCTGTCAACTCTCAGTAGCAAGAGTCTGATTTTGGGAATAAGCTGGGCAACAGACTGCAACACTGGCGGCTATCATTTTTTTTCTTGGCACCTCCAGCAGTCAGGTTTGAATCATGCCTTGTACCTAAGATTCAAGTAGTCATTTGTAGCAGAAGCTGATTTGAGGCCATCTGTCTGCTCTGAACAAACTTCTGTGCTCTTGAAAATGAAGTTGTGCCGTGGAAGAAGTGTGATCCTTTAATAAACACAGATGTGTCATCAAAACCATTCAGCACAGTCACACCTACAGCAATAAAACAACACTTTACAATGCTGCCTGGTTTTGGTCAGTAAGGAAAGGGGGGGACATGCTTATTGTGTGGGATCTTAGTGTCCCTGCACAGGTGTATCCCTGCCCTAGCAGTACTTCCTTGGCACAACGCACAGGTTTTACTGTATAGTAATGCATTCGCGCCATAGACACTGCCCTCTGCTTCAGGCACTGTGGGGGAAGGAGCTCTTCACCCAACAAAACAGTTACTAGAAAATCAGTTGGGTGAATCAGAATATTTGTTATCAGTTTAAGGTAACATACAACCACACCCCTTCTTGGCTGCAGTGAACCAGTTTCAGTTTAGCCCAGTATTTGAACAGTTGGGGACATTGTCTACATCATAATTCCAACAGGGACCCACAAGCAAGGCTCCCCTGGGTGGTCCTAAACCCCAAACTTCCATCCAGACCGGCCGGTGAGTGCCACCTACGTGCTCCAGCAGCAGTTTCGGCAGTCACAGCATGCCCTCTCTGACAGAAACCCATCACTGCAAACACAGCCAGCCCACATGCAACAGGCAGGCCACGCTTGCTCACAGCAAGCTTTATCCCGGGAGATTTCTCATAGGCTACCACTTCTTCAGCTCGCTCCCAAAAGCAGGTCCTTGTGCTCTCAAAATAACAGTTCCTAACCTTTTTCTGGTAGACTGCTGTGATCAGCACTGTGCCGCTGGTGTCCACGGGGCTCCCCAGCCGTAGAGAGCGTGATGTCCCCAGGTCAGCGCCTGGAGCTACCATCGGAGCAGAGGACCTTCGGCCAAGCAGGAGGACACGGCTGGCAGCCTGCTGGAGCTCAGCACAAAGCCACACTACGGGAGGAAACCCAGGGCAGGCTTTCACAGATAAAGCAAGCGTTGAGCCCATATCCTCATCACCCTTTCAGTACTGAGCCTCTCCAGCAATCTGCTCTTTGCTCAGCAAACTGCGGCAATCAAGTATTTCCATTAATGTTTGGCCCTTATTTCCAGTGCTCCCTTTTAGATTTATATTGTGCTCTCAGCCTTTTAAAATACTTTGTGTGCTACCTGCTGTTTCATTCTCTCCGCAGTGAAAACAGATGATGGCTTCTGATGAATCAGTGCCACAATAACAAGATACACAATATTAGTGCATTTTGTGCTCTGCATTTGTTAGCTGAATTTTTCTGCCTCAATCGAACTATACGGAAAGCTGCCATTCTTGCCAGAAAATTCCAGCTCTTGCTAGATGGTATCTTAAATTAAAAAAAATGCAAATAATTAAATACTGAGCCAAAGACTGAGGGCTTTGTCTAGATGTTTTTGAAGTCCAAAACTTAATCTAGTCACTACACAGTCATTGATTGCTATGTCTATCTTTTTGACATTTTTCGCCTGTTAAACAACCTCTTGGGCATCATCTTAGACCAAAATGCAATTACACACCCATTGGTTCTGTATTACTTCCTAAAACTTTACATACATTCTCTCCTAAAAAGCCAGAAACGCAGCCCTGCAGAACATTAACAATTGGTTTGGACCGTCAAGTATCACAGAAATCCGAGAAAAGTATAAAGAGGTTTTAATCTTAATTAATTAGCTTTTAAAACTAATTTTGACCACTATTCTAGTATTATTAATGTAAGACAAACTTTAATGGTCTTCATGTTATAGGATTTTCTATCACAGCTGTTTATTTCCTTAACCAAGATCAGCACTTGTAAAACACATGCCAAGAACCAGGCCCTCATTAAAAGGAAGCACATCTGATTGTTCTCTACTTGTGTATTTTTGAAGGATAAGGATAATATCTGACCAAGCTTTTTTAATAAAAGGCAAAACCCAAGTTAACCCATAGAGGATGCTGGAGGACTTGAGCTGCCTTTCAAAAAAAAAAAAATCAGTCTGAAATCAGCAAGAAGCATAAAACTTAGCACGTTTATCCAGTTTCTCTCACACAGCTGGACAATAACTGAGATACATAAGTTGTTCTACATTAAACATTGCTCATGCAGAGATAAAACAAGAATAGGCAAAGCTAAAATACAGAGTTGTTTTTTTTTTTTTTCCTCTTAGCACTCATTGTTACAACCGTGGGCAGAAAGCAAGCTCCCAGTTGTACACACAGGTATTCACAGGAATGCCTTCCAAATTCAGCCGGTCAGTAATTACTGAAACTACTTTGTTTGAAATGGGTACAGAGGAGACAGCCTGCGAGAAGTTAATCAGAAAATAACCACACTGGCCCAGTTGTGCCGGGATCTGAATTCGAGGTTGTAGCTTGGGGGGTGTTACTGAAGAAGCTATCTTAAAAGTAGATGCAACAAGATTTAGAAGATAAGGAAGCTAACAGCAGCAGGGAAACTCGAAAGCCTTTTGTTTGTTTGTTTTAAGGGAGGGGAGGAAGAGAAAGGACATTATGAAATCCCGCGTAAAGCCACGGAAAGGCAAAAGGAGAATGTGAAGCGTGAGCAACCAGTCCCACATCCAGCTGGGCACCCTGCACCTCCATCCCCGAGCCCAGGGCAGTCGTCCCTGTGGCAAGCTGGGATTGCCCATCCCAGAGTCAGGGAACCGAAGGATGTTCGCTCTGCAGCTGCACCCACCCCACCAGCTCTCTATAAACACTTCCACATATTTGAGCGCTTACCGCAGAGCACGCTCCACCCAGGGCTCTCGCACAGTATTGCTTTCATCCATCACGTGGGTCAGGCCCAGACGGTCGAATCCAACATCTACTCCATCTCCCCTGATCATAAAGCCTCCCCGAGAGTCACATATCCACCAAAACAACGGGGTGGCAGCTACCAGAGCCAGGCCTGCCCCAGGGCGACGTTAAAAATAGGGAGCTCACAGGCGTAAGAGCTGCCACTGACCACAGCAAAGGGAGAACCTGATACTGCCCCGGCTCCGACAGCTCCCTCCGGCTTGCGTTCGTGCCCAGTTGCGTTCGTGACTCCTGCTAACGAGGGAAGGAGAGGGGAATCGTGCCCTAAACCAAGGCAGGTACCTGGGTATGATACAAAGCAGGGCTGTACCCCTGTCCTTGACAGCTCCTTCCCCGCTTTAGGCTGGGCAGGCAGGGCCCCTCTAGCACTGGAGCCTGCAGAGGTGTTTTCTGCCAGGCAAAAACTGTCCAAAAAAATCTGAAGGAGGACTCGGGACTCTGGAGCGACATCGTGGCTGTCCCCTGCAGCAAGCCCCACTGCAGAAATTGGAGAAATGGCCCAAACAAGGCAATAACTGGTCCAGAGAGTCACAGCCCACGGGAGCTGAGAATTAGGGCAACAGCCACCCCAAACTACAGCACCCCAGAGCCCAAGGCTGGTACAGAAACCTAACACACACATCAGGGGAGATCCTCGACACCCATCCCCAGCCTGAGGGTGGGACCCTTGGGAGAACCCTTGTGCAGGCACTGCAGGAACAGAGCTACTCGAAACCTGGGACACTCCAGGAACGACAGACGCCCCAGGAACGACAGAGAGGTGACACCACAGGTCAGACGTGGCCAGGCACCAGCAGGCAAACCTGGACGTGACACAGCGCGCTGCCAGCCCTGCTGAGACACCAGCGATGGTGTGGAAAGGCAGGCATCTCCAGGCTTGACTGATGGGAATCCTGCTGACAGTCACGGGGGCAGCAGCAGAAGCAAGGAGGATTTTCTGGCGCAGCAGCACAGAAACACCAATCTGGACAAGTACAACGTCCCTACTCATTTACGGATGAACTACGGTGGCTGATACCACAGGCAATCTTTCTGCAACACAAGTCTTGACCCAACAGCTGTGAAAATGTAAACAAGTTGGAGAAAGAGAGGCAGGAGCAAGAAAAGCAAATGCTGTTGTTGGGAAAGAAGGAGAGGAGTTACAGCATGAAGGTGATGGGTAACCTAGAGAGATCCCAGATGCCAGAGTCAAAGAGCAAAAATACTCCCATGGGCTTCTCACAGAAGGGAGAACTCAGTGCCCAGAAAGACACAAGAAACAAAACTACAAGCAAAGATGGGAAAGCACATTATTATTCTGTTTGAAGTGCATTCACCCTTGGGACACCACCTCAAACCGTACCTCAGACTCCCTGCTGGAGTAAGGCGATCCCACTCCAGTCACAAATGTGCTGCCTTGAGACTCATCTTGCATCCAATCCCAAAGACTCACCAAGTTATTCTACAAAATCAAAGCAGAGTTTCTGCTGCATTTCTCCATTTGCTGAGGTTTATTATATTTGCAAAGAATTAAATGAACCATTTGTCTGTTTCCAAATGAGCTGCATTGCTTTTGCAGCACTGTATGCACACTGTGAAACTTTTTTTATTGCAAAAATGGCTCTGTACTTTCCTCAACAACCTCCTGAGCTCCACAGCGCACAGAGTCCTATTATTACTGATGTTAAAGGAGAGTGCAAAGTACAGATGAGAGATTCATCCTATCTGGTCTGGCTCTGGCCTCACAATAGAAATTTTGTTGGTAGAAGAGCTTACATGTGTAATACTTGGCAGAAAACTCAACTCTGATTTTGTTGTGTAAACCTTTAATTTTTATTATGGTAAAAAGAGGAGGGAGAGAAGGCAGACTTCTGGGGAGATGGTATGAATTTCATGACCACCCACTTCCTGGAGGATACTCATTTTTTTGTGTATGTGCATAAGTACAGACTAGTCATTTAAGCACACAAAGACTATTTTCTTTGCTGCACATCAGCCAATATGGTACATGCCAACTGTGGCAAGAACAACAGATGAAAGCCACAGACACAGTGCTAAGCAACTTGTTCAGCAATGCTCAAACTCGCATGTAAACAAGAGAGATAAGAGTTGGGTTCCCAAGGCCCTCACCAGAGAGGAATATTGGGATAGTGTCACCCCGCTGCACTGGGATTTGCGTGCACTCTCCCTTCTGGGAGACTGACATGTAATACACTGCCATTAGATTTCTCAAATCCCGGTGGAATAAGGGACCAGAGTTAAATAGAACATTACAAACATCCTTAATGATTTCAGAAACCTATAAAGCCTGGGAGACTCTGAAACTGCAATGTTTGAGTGCAGAGCAGGAGATCAGCACAGATCAGGGCCAAGAAAATGTGCTTATGCTTCTTTCAGCCCTGTGTGGCAGAAAGCCTTACTTTCCCTTAAAAGAGCTGATGATTGCAAAACACTCTTTTCCCTCCACAAAGTTACCATAAATCATAAAATCATTTTTACAGACGTTTTCACTCACAAGGATGCTATAGAATTTACAAGCTTCCCTTGCTAAGCAATACAGACTTGCAAGTGTCATTTTCTCTGCTGCTGAAAAAAAAAAAAAGTCAGCTCAAGTGAAACGTGATAGCTCTTTAATGGCACACAGCTCTCCTGCTGGATCCAGCTCCATCAGACTCGCCAGTACAGCTCCAGGTTCCACCAGAGGAGCTTTGGTGGAGGGAGAAGGAAGCACTCGTTTTTGACAGATGAATGCTACAGCTGACAAAAACAACCAAATAACTGATGAAACACGCAGGACTGGGGCTTGTTCTCTCCAGCAAACCAGGCAAAAGGCATTACAACAATACATAAATGAAGATGACATAGTGACAGATTTCTACAATATGCTATATGCTGTCACTCCTTACCTTCTTGAAACTTGCTTTTCTAGTCCTTCAAAGTTTTGTCTCATTAAATTCCTTGTCACTGTTCTGTTTTAAGAATGTCCTTGTTAAAACTAAAACACCTGTAAGCCTTCCCTGGGCACTCTTGTCTCTTATTGGGAAAAAACACATGATCTTGGCATTCATTTCAGTCTAAAGTGACAGATGTTGCTGAAAAAAGTACGACAGAACTTCCCAGTCTCCTGCAATTCAAAATTCTACCTCCCCAGCTGTAAAAATGTAGTAAGGAATAGCAAGAAAAGAACATAAGAGCTAAGGCTGATTTCTTTCTGGTTATGTATTTATGGAATACTTGCTTTGGAACAAAGGTGATCAACACTTGCCATTTCTATTGCGCTTTCCTGGACATCCTCAAGTCAGTTGCAGATACCCACATTAACCAGCTCAGCTCTAGAAACGAGCTGCCAGTTAATTGCTGCTGCACTGACAGCCAGGGAGTTCTGACACATAAGACAGGTCCTACACACACACACACTGGCTTTTTGGACAGCTGATGCAGTTTTACTTTTGGCAACAGAATATTGCCTTTGTAAAAAATACAGATTTTTGGCTACCTGAAACAATGTTAAGGTAGATAAAGTTTTGATCTTGAACTCCATGACAGTGTCAACTTAAGTACGCAAGTGTGTAGGACCAGAAACAGGCCAGAGACCTCAGCATCTGAAACAGCCCTAGAACCCACAGCTATATATGGCAGGCAATTAGCATTTACATATTTAAGCCTCAAGACAATCCATCACTGGTGCGTCTCATCAACTAGCAAAACAGGTATTTTGCTCTTAGCCTCAGCTGAGCAGATTTGCTGGAAGCAGCCTCTGCCTCTGTCACACTACCTGCATGCCTCTGTCATGCCCATCTAACTGCACTTTCAGTTTGTGAAGCTCTTCGATCTCTCGGTTGTGGCGCTCCGTTTTGTGCCGCACCAAAGAGCGGTAGAAGTGAATGGTGAAGACGACAAAAATCAGACCCACTGGGACCATGATGATGGTGGAGACCAGCGCTGACTGCCAACCTGCATGGCCGCTGGGCTTCTCAACGTTGGTGGTCTCATTTTTCGGGATGGAGCCCACAGGCAGAAATTTTATCCAGCACAGAAGCACAACTTCCGCAAGGAAAAGGAGGATCCCCAAGACGGTGGAGAAGCCCCACGCCAGCTCGATGTACGGATGCATGCGCTCATGCGGGGACTCACTGATGGAGTTCAGGTTGTGGATGTTGCTCACTGCTTCCACGTTAGGCAGAATGCAGGTGCTGATGAGAAGGGCAAAGAGATGAACTGCCACGAGCACTGTTGTGCAGGCACTGAAAGCAATCAGCAGCATCTGGGGGTACTTGTACTGTACCTCCAGCTGCACCTCCACCATGGCAACCTGGGGGGAAAGGAACAAAAAGCTTGTCAACAGCTGCTAGTTTTCTCTTTTCAAGGCTTTCATCCAGGAAAGCATCTTTACTGAAGAACACCTAAGGTCAAGTACACACTCCAGTGCTTTTTAGAATGGCAGCCTAGATGGATCATTTCTGTTTCCCATGAAGACGTACAGTGAAGATGCAGTCTGCAGCCTGGCCTTTCTGAAAGCTCATGCGTACATTTCTGCCCTGTAGTTTTCTGAAATAACATATCTCTCCTTGCAACCATGAGCCATACGAACTGCATCAAACCAAACACACAACAGAAGGAACTCATTAGACAACAAGTGGAGCTCGGAGGCAGCTGACAGCCTGCTAGCCAGCCCACCCGCCCATCACACATTCTCCATCCGCTCATCACTTGTGGCTGCGGTGCAGGAAGTTTCAACTTCAGGCGCATAAAGAAAAGCAAAAGCAAGCAGCTCTTCTGGCCAGCAGCCAGCAAGGTTTCACCACCCCCCATGGGAAGCACACAAGCTACTTTACAGTTTAAGTTAGTCCATAGTTAAAATAGCTGCTTTCTATTCTCAGAACATTGTATGTTCGTTTTTATTATGAATATGCCCAGATACGAGTTATTTATATCCTCAAATTTCTCCCTTGAGAGCTAATAACTTACTGATATACACAGCAGAAGTGGACAGCTACTGGCTTATGGGCGTGCTCAACAACCAACGATTCAGATAGAAATCTGTCTTCTTAAAATAAAAGCTATCATATAGCATGTCTCTAAAGCTCTCTATTTTTAATTGAATCAAATAAAGCTTAACAAGCAGAATAAGCACAAGAGAGCAGGGGGCTCTTCTGAGATCAGAACTGGAGTCCTAGGCCTGTTAACTGGTTTAGCATAAGAATTGGTAAAATTACTTAACCTACCTGTGAATTAAAATAGTACTTCTGTGTGGTGGCATCCCTGAAAGGACTGCAGAAACCTTGCGCTAAGAGAAGCCACAAAAACAGTGGACAAGCGTATCAAACATTGCTCTCTAGTAGCTCTCTAGTGGCTTGCTTGGATCTGCGGCTGCACTTCATGATTTGCATGGATACTTACTTGCCTGGCAGCAGGCACAACCTCTGGTGATCCCAGGTGACCTGCTGCTCCATCGTGGCAGAGCTTGCCAGATGCGTTAAGGAAAGGAGAAGCCGATGCTTGGATGCCTGCCTCAAGACCATCTCAAGAAGGCAAAGTCTGAACAAGCAGCTCGATTTTGGGGGCTAGATGGATTTTGCAGAAAGGACTCATGATTACTTTATCCAGAGTTCGCATGAGACCACCACTAAGCAGCCATTTCACACTCTGTATAATAATCTGCACCATTCGCTCTGTCATTACTTGTTAATAATATTATTTGGGCACTGGAAGATTAGGGGTACGCTCATGCTCTCCCTGTTGGTAGCCCTGAAAATGATTAAAGGGGATGGAAGCAAGTGCCTACATTGGCATGACTGCTGCCTTACCTGCATTTACTCTGAAACCATCAGCAGCCTGAATGAGGGGATCACAGTCAAGTCTGAACAAATTTAGTAGCAACCAAGATATAACACATGTGTTTGTGGTAGCAAATGGTCAATCTCTACAAGTCCAGATTTTATACGTACATCAACTATTTAGGATATTAGAGACACAAAAATACCATGACAGTTCTTGGACATTCCCAGCTTTTTGTTCTGATTATGAACATGTGGGGTTTTTACTTTTCTGTTGTTTTTTTTAAAAGTTCCTGTTCACAGTTTACAGTGGTTGTTGTTGTATAGCGGAGAAAATAATAATGCAGGATTGGCTTCACCATCCACTGCAAGGTCAATTTAATTAAAACACATTACACATTGCCTTGCATATGTTCTCTTTGTGGTTCCCCTTGTATTGATTCAAGAAGGAGATCAGACTTATTCTTTGCTGCACTGTTCTGTACAGTGAATTTGTACAGTGCTGTGATTGTCAGTCACACCCTATCAGCCAGGAAAAGCTGCAGGTATATTGTTCATTATTGGGTGCTGTAATACCCAGAGACATAGTATTCAGCAAGCTGAATAGAAATTGTACCTGCATGTTCAATTTATAGCTTTATATTAAAGCTGAAAGCCTGGCTGATGTCAACATATCAATTTCTACTTGTTATCCTTCGCATGAGCAGCACTTTTGAGCTAATTGGATGTTTCCTCCCAGACTAACCTATTCCCTAGGGCTAGCTTCAGCTGTGCAATGTGATGAATTTTTAACACTGACTGATGGCTCAGTAAGAGGTATTTCAGGGAAAAACATCAACAATCCAGATAGGGCAGCAAGGCAGAAAAACAGTTCATTTAACCTGAACAAGAGCTGGAAAGGTAAGTGAGCTCTTATCGCTTTACCCTGTACAAACTATCATGTCATTCTCTGACCGGGATAAGAGAAAGAGGACAAGCTGACATAACCCATTTAAAAATCATTAAATATGCTGCTTAGTCTGTAAAACTATTAATATGTCATGTTTGATACAATTATACTCTTCCGTGATAATAGCCCCCTTTATTTTAACCTCTTCCCAGAAGCCAAGGTGTCAAGGGCTTGACTTTGCAAGGCACTGAGCACTCTGCTGAGCCGCAGAATATTTCAGCATAGGCTTAATTTTAAGCTCGAGAATCACCCTGTTGAACTCCATGCTCACAAGTTTGCTAAAGGACCAAGTACTCAGAACATTTTAGAATTAAACTGCAATTAAATTACATGCAATTATGTTGGGGTTTTGTTTGGTTTTTTTTTTTTTTTGACCAGTATAGCCCAGATTGTCCACAACAAAGGTGATGTTCATCCTGAGAAATTTAGACCAGGATAGATAGTATCAAGCAAAAGGATGACAAATGGCTTAACATAAACCATGTTACATTCACACAGATGGTCTGGCAGTTTGTAAAAACAATCACTCCAGTAGATCTGTTAGGTCAGGGGTTTTTGGGTTTTTTTGGTTTTGTTTTTTTTTTTTTATTAAATCAAACACATATCCTGTAGCAATTGGACAAGCACTGAGAAGACTGATTAGCAGCAATAGCTCTTATTTTCATCAGGAAAATTATTAAGGAGGTTTCCTACGCTCCCTCTAAATCTCATTCATCTGCAGTCTCCCTGGGGCAAATGCAGTAGCCCTACAGCCCACCTCCAAACAGACCTGGCACTGGAAAGGACCCACATCCTCCTGATCTGCCCAACTCTCTGCCAGAAATATCAGAGACAGCATCGAGTAATGAGGAAGGTTCGCATTATTCTGCAGCCTTTCCAGAAGGAGCTGGATCAAAGCCACTGCCTGTTGATTAAATATCCATCAGCTCATAATAATCTTCAGCCAATATGGAACTGGCTTGAATCAAACACACTGACACGGAGGTAAATAAAGCAATAGCCAAGCCCTGTATGACATTTGTTTACACTGCTAAATGCACACAGGGCTTCAGGGAAAGTATTTAACTCTAAATAACTTCTCTACTTTCATCAATAGCCAAATAGATGCTCTTATTAGAGAGTAAACATCCATGTACCAAATACCTGCATGGCGAATTACCAGTGGAGAAATAACCTGGTAGGAACAGATACCGCAGATTTCACCGGAAGGTCCAGTACAATCAGGTGGGAAAAAGCTTGCTAGTAAAGAGAATTTCTTATTGCAAAAATTTTTATTTCCAACAGTTACTGATTTCAGGTGTACTTACTATCTTAAGCTGGTGATTATAACTAACACTACTTATACCTATGTGTTTACTTGACTTGCATTTTAAATAGTTTAAAGAGAAGTCAAATGGTTCATTTTGCGTGTTTGCCAAGGACTTTCAGCCAGTTTCTGTTGTGTGAGTTGAGAAGGCATGCTTTGTTTTCAGATACATAGTTCAGCCCCGCAGTGCGGGTGGGCTGCAAGCCCCTCCCCGAGTCCCAGTGATGCCAGCGAGAGCACACCCCAGCACGGGCACCTGCTTGTGTAACCATGCTGCCTAGATCAGTTCACAACAATATGAAAAGTTAATTGAACAATCATGTTGAAGAGAACAGTCACAAGTGACTAACACAGAACTCTGGTAACCCAAAGGCACAAAGGGCAAGCACACAAGTGGCTTTTTAGAGTAAGAAAGCTTCTCAGTGAAAGTAATCTACGGGAAAGCACTCAACTTTCTCAAAACAAGGAGGTACCTTCTGCCATTTCAGCACACAAGCTTGGTTACAAACCAACATACGCTGCATGAAAAGTTCTTATGAGCATCGCTTGCATGCAGTCAGCAAGCGGAGAGGAATCGCAAAACAACCAAGCACCCTCTCTCCTCTGCAGCCTGCTCCCCCTTAATTCCCCGCTTGCATTTTTCCAACTTCACTTTGGGTGGCCAACTTTGTCATCCCAGACTGTTGTAATGTTACAGATGATTCGTGTGCTGGGGGATTGGGGGAGGAAAAAGCAGTGGAAGAAGCTAAAATAAAACAAGGAAAGCTATCCGGAAAGTTCCCAAGATCTGTCTTCCCCCCCAGCTTCTGAGCTGCAGGATGCAACATCTTCACATCACATCCCACTCACCCAGGCGCTGCCCTCTGCCTCTTCGCATTCATCTGACAGACCTCAGGAACAACCAAACCTGCCCATTTCCTGAGCAGAAAACCTCCCCCAAACAGATTTCAATTCTCACTCCCGGTAAGCAAGAACTGGAGGGGAAATGAAGAGGCTCACACTGACACAGCATGGCTGTGTTTTGCTAATACCACAGCTTGGACAGCTCCGAGCACTGGACCGCTGTCTCCGTCTTGTTCATTTGCTCGCTCCCTGACGTGATTTTCACCTATGCCGATAGCTTCCAGATAACACCCAAGTGCTGCACAGAGCAAAGCAAGCACCAGGGATTATGCCCAATAGGCAGCACTGACACAAATATACCAGGTTTGCCTCCCTTCAGGCTAGAGAGTCCTCTGACACCAGGTCCAAGGCTGCAGGGCCTCTTCTCACACCTCAGCATATAACACGATCTCCCTGATCATGCTATGCAAACTTCACTCTGGCAGACTGTGACCCAACCTCCACCTTATTTTAGACACTGTGACCTGAAAAAACACATACGTAAATTACGATGATGTTCAGGACTACAGCAACCACAGTGGCCTGGAGAAGCTCCACGCCCAAATGCAACCTCACGCGAAGGCAGCCAGCTACAAATGGCCTTGGGCCCAAAGGAGAGCCCAGGTCCTGTATTCTTTAGCACTGGTGGAGCACTTAGGATCACTTGCAGGTAGGGGATTAGTATTTTTAAAAGGGCTGACTTGGGAGCATGTGGGTTGACTGTTAGGCAGCTCATATATCTGTGCTGCCTTGAGCGAGCCAGCCTCAAACTTTTCAGCAGCAGCCAAGCAGAAGCCCCCTGGCAGATGCCTCCTGCCTCTTCAGAAAACAACACTACGTCCTGCTTCTTCACAGGATGCAAACACTGATTAATAGATGGTTTTAGTGAACCAAAACCTTCATGATCCAGAAAGTGTGGCTACAAAATACACATACCATTGCAAATCCAGAGAGCAGAGCAGAGGTTCTGCTGGAAGCTTTCAGTTTGGCTCGGCTCAGGTACAGTTTTCTCCATGAAAGGGCTTGAACGGAGTGGTGGTTTGATGTGACCAATTCCAGATAGCTGCGCCGGACCCAGTCCCGATAATCCATGCCTTTTGTGCCAGGTTCAGAGCAGCAAGCAGGAGTGGAAGGATCCACTGGAACATTTAACTCAGAACTCATGATGAGAAAAATGCTGAGGGAACAAAAGAGTCATGTTCAAAAAGAGATAGTGAAGAGGACAAGCATCAACTACTGGAAAAGCTACGTTTAAACAAAGTTGCCCTCGGTCAGTAGAAAAATGATGGACCAAATACCATCACGCTTGCAAGGCACAGAACAGAGAAAGGACCATCTGTAATTGGTAAAAATGACCATGAGAACTAGGAAAGATTACACAAGTAAACCCAGGAACTACTCCAGCAGGAATTCAGGAAGGGTGCACAGCATCTGGCTTTTCATTTCAAAGCTGGCATCTTAACTTTCCCCTTTAATGCTTCCTTGCTAATAAAAAGAAATGTTTTACATAAAGACACTTTGGAAATAATGCCTCCACCTTATAATTTTGTTTTAAGCTCACAGTTAATTTCACAGTTCATCACAGATTGGCTCCAAATGCATCTCCTTAGAGTACCAAAGTAATGTTGGCTAGCATGTTCAGGGAGTCACTTTTTGCTCTTTCTTTGGAAAACAGTTTGATTCAGTCAAACCATTGCGCATCATAGCTCAGTTTAGATGGGCACAGTCCTTCCCCAAGACTTCCCCAATAGTCACAGAGCTGAATGCTGTGTAGGGTTAACAAATGAACTCCCCAAGCTTCTGCGGTGGGAAGTTTCCTGAACTGCCCACACTCCACTTATCAGCCACATCTGACCAAGAATCCTGTTCCTTTACTTCCACTGGTGGCTCTTAGCACAGGGAAAGGAAAAGACAATTCCAAGGGGAATAGCAAGCTGCCTTCCAGGTAGTTTCAGCATCTTTAGATTCACGAGATTACACTGAAAGACGTAAGAAAGCAGCAAGACTATTTCAGGTGGTGAATGCCACAGCTGCCAGCAGAGACAAGTACAAGGTCCAAACCACCCCCTCCTTACACCACAACATAGCCAGGCTGCTGCCAAATGGCTCTGGTTGATCTCCATGCCATCCACAGACACAGAACAGAATTCACTAAATGTTTCAAGCAAAAATTTCTCAACTCTGACAAACATCTGAAACTAGACATTTAACTCAGCCTTCTGAAGAACAGAAACCACAATTCTCTGATTAATCACCACATTCACAACTCTGCCACTGACCACCACGGCGGTGGCAGGTAACACCACCAGAGCTGCACCACACGAGACCCTTCTGGCCATAAATACTTACCAGCTCCTAGGAGGAGGAGATGCATGCCCAGAATCACACGTGGTGTGGTACTAATTACTCCCAGCGCCACACCTCAAGGTCACAGGCACCTTGCTGTTCGCTGTTCAGGCACCACGCTTGAGAGGAGCCCCAGCCCTGCCTGCATCCCCCCTGCTCCACCCAGCTCTCCGTGGACACGGGCCACATAGTGACAGCTAATAAACCCTCATTTGCTGTGAGATTTGAGGAAGTGACAAAGATAAAAAGGACACCAACTGCCCACAACTCCGAATGCTGTTACTAAAAAGGAACAAAGATGTTCCAGGCACACTAACAAAGATTAGACTGCAGCAGCAAATAAAGCATTGCAGGTCGTAAGACTTGTCTGTCCCTCCTGAGCATGGTGGGCTTTCAGATTCCAGCCCCCTCAGACATAATAAGGATGGCAGCAAGAGTGCAAGACGACTTCTTCTGGGCAGTTTTTGATAAGGCCACTATTACAGCCCCTGGAGGATTCTAGGATGGCTCCTGAACTGCTCAGGAGTTTTCAAATTATTAAAAAAAAAAAAGTATAAAAGAACATTCACACAACAATAAAAACAAGAACAGAGTAACAGGGACAAACCTCCCTGCTTGCTCTGTGTGTCCAGAAAAGGCAAGAATCACCTATTTTACAGAAGAAGAAGAAAAAAAAAAAAAATCTCTCCCCAAAGCCTCCTGGGATGACTGGAGCAGAAACATTCTGTGAGCAGCAAAATTATAAAGCTGTTTCCTGTGACAACATCCTGTGTGGATTCTGCAATGTATAGCGTGGGGTGAATTTATCAGCTTTGTCCTTATTTGGGACACTGATGGCCGCTACCCTGCAATTTATTTTCACAAAATACGTAGGAACTTTGTATGTAGGAAACTTCAACCCCTGGGACAAATTCCGTTGAAAAGACAAATGAATTCAGAGGTTACAGAGGGAGAGCAAGGGTACCCAATCACATCTGCTTCTTTCCTTAGAAAAATAAGCTAAAAATACCACAAGGATGAATTTTCACTCTGGAGCAGCTCAAGAAATGTTCCCAAATAAGTAAATAACTTCAGAATAAAATCCATAAACACAAACGTAACCCAAACAAGCAGTAACAGGACAGCAAACTCACCTTGGTGGCTACAGACATGGAGGGACTCGGTGGAGGGCTCCAAAGGCTGAAACACAAGACCAAGGAAGCATTTTACATGCACTGTATCTTAAGCAGTTTTACTCTGGAAATATTTTTCAGCCAGTTATCTGCATAAGGGGAGAGTTATTCTGGAGATTTCATGTTCCTATCCTGCAACGTTAAAGGTTTAGGACACTTGCTCTTACAGAAATAACTGTCCTACAGGGTTTTTACCGCACAGAGCTGTTGAGTTTTGGATGGAGAATCAGGGCTTCGTCAGGGGACCTCTTCCTCAGCCTAACAGCCAGCTCCGGCCAAGTCCATCCCAGCTGTGTCTTTACTCCCTTCCGTTGCACCACCAATGCATTTGACCCTGTTTCATTTCACACCGCTGAAGACAGAAACCTCTCTGTGATTGCTACCTCATATTGATTTTGTTAATCTGTCCAGCATTGTCCTTCAGAGCCGCAAGCGTAGTGGGGAAAGCCTTTACCGTGCCTTACATCTCAGCTGGCCCTGTGCAGTTGCAAGCGCACGTGCGGGGATTTCTTCACAGCAGGGAATGAAGCAGACGCCGGCGGGGCTGAGATATGTGGATCTCCCTCCCGCCTCCAGTATGCCCTGAACAATCGCCCACAGAGTGCTGTCTCAGCAGTACTGTCAGCTCCTCTGCCTGGCTTCAGGAAGCCAGCCCCCCCGTCAGACACAGATTTCTGTCCCACACCCCGAGACTGATCAGTGTGTTTGTACCAGCGCCCTTCTCCCCTGTATATTATCATTCAAGACCCTGCACACCATGGCTAAGCCTAAACCCAGGCCGCACTACTCCTCCTTCTGCTACTCTGGGCCACCCAAGCTCAGGCCCTCTTTGCTATGGGGAACCCCTTCCCATGCTCTCTTCCGGCTTGGGACCCCCCCCAGCAGCACCCCTGGGATGTCACACCACCCAGGCAGGGTATGAACACCCCACAGCTGTGACCACCCTTACGGCAGTGCCCCTCACGCAGGGGATCAGCCCCCGAGCAGGGTGTGACCCCCTCACCCCACCACCACAGCTAGGATCCTACTCACAGGCCACCACCTGAGCAGGGGATTTCTCCTCCTCCTTCCCAGCCACCCTCAGCACACCCCGGGCAGGATGTGACCCCACACAGTGAGGATCTCCTCTCCAACAGCACCCTCAGACAGGGGATCGCCGAGGCCAGGATGAGACCCCCTCACAGCTAGGATGCTCTCCTCCAAAGGCACCCTGGACAGGGGATCCTCCCTCGGCAGGATGCGACCTCCTACCACTGGATCCTTGTCCAGCATCCCAAGGATCCCCTGCAACTCCTCAGGCAGGATGGGATCTGCTCCCTCCCCACAGCTGGGATTTGCCCTTTCCAACAGTACCCTGGGTCAGGGCCTTCCCTGCACCGTGGGCTGGAGGTGTCTCCCCTACAGCACCCCCAGCGAGACGATCCCTTTGTCAGGATACAATCCCCGAGAGCTGGCCTGCCCTCTGCATCCCAAGGGAGCTCCAAAACACCGCTGAGCAGGACGGGACCCCCCCCTTCTCTGCCTACAGCGGACCCTTCCCACACAAACCCACCGCCCCTGGCAGGGGATTGCCCGCAGCTGGGCAGGATGAGGTGCATATCCCTCCCCACCACCCCGGACAGGGGATTCCCCCCACCTGGGCAGGATGAGGCACGTCCCCCCCCACCACCACCCCGAGCAAAGGAAGCCCCCTCCAGGCAGGATAAGCCCAACTCTCCCCCAGCAGCGCTCCGGGCATGGGATGCCTCCACCTGGGCAGGATGAGACCCTCTCCACCCAGAGCACCCCGGGCAGGAGATGCTCCCATCTATGCAGGATGAGCCCCCCCCCCCAACACCCCGGTCAGGATGAAGCCCGCTACCCAGGAGCACGGGACCCGCCACCCCGTGCAGGATGAGACACCAGCCCCCGGGACAGGAGAC